AGGCATGTTGGAAGGGGCTACATGGAAACTATCCAGAATGGAGGTAGATTCGGAAGGACTACCATGCTAATTGGTATTCATATTTTTGGGTCTAGAGTTTGTATACAAAACGCTCTGTACGGTCATGGAGTCTCGCTGGGTTGAACACTCACTTATCGGATTCATGTGGCTCATGAAATGCACATCTGCTTTATCAACCCCGACAATCAGTAACAATTATTGATTTTGTCCAGCTTTACGTTTGCTGTCGACATTCCTCATCCTATGTATGTGTTCGGTTCCGACGAAGAGATATCAAGAAGGTTACGTCAGCTCAGCTGTTTATGTGTTTCAACCAGTAGGTGGAAGATTTGAGTATAAATTATTCCGGATATTCGTACACGACCTAGTTATGCCTAAGTAGTATGAAATGGCCGATCGAAATCCAAGGACAGCTCACGAACGGCTCAACTCTGATGGAGTTTATTCATATAACCGTAGTTGTAAGGATTTCTTCAGTCTTCTCCTTAGCTCAATGGTTTTAGGCATGAATACTGAAGGGTTAGTTTTGAACGAATTGGCTGCTGTTGCGGCAGTGAGCAGGTTGACATTGGTAGCAANAACACTGAACAGGACTGTCTACGACATTGAGCCTAGAAATCCTTCGAATATTCAGGTCCGTCGGCAAACATGTGTGCATAACACTGCGGATCGTCGAACGACTTGAAACGTGATTTCGTGCAAGGTAGGTGCTGCTCGCGAGAGGTTGTGAATAGAATTAATAGGCTTCTCCAATGAACTGAACTCTTCAATCCGAACCAAATTAATGGGATGAAGCTTGTAGCATGTTGCCTGAGCCGTCAAGCCTGGAGGCTTATTGAGAAGTTGACCTCGCCGGTCGATTTAGGCTTATCCCGAGAAGCATTGCGTGCCCAATATTCTGTCGGTTTCATCTGAGGCTTGCCTATCAATTCTCACGCTCGTTTTTTGAGTGGCGTGATCTCTGAACTCTTATCGAGCTGCAGGCCTTCTGGGATGTTGTTATTACTAACCGTTACAAACGCCCTTCGGTAAGCGAATTCAACTTTGTTTGTCGCTGGGATTTTCGAGCTTTACAGTGGCGTTTTGATGGCTGCGGGCCCTGAAGTCGATATAAACCCTCTTGGAGGTCTTGAGGGCTGCACCCGGTACATTTATGATGCCCGNAACACTGGACAGGACTGTCTACGACATTGAGCCTAGAAAACCTTCGAGTATTCAGGTCCGTCGGCAAACATGGGTGCATAACACTGCGGATCTTCGAACGATTTGAAACGTGATTTCGTGGAAGGTAGGTGCTTGCTGCTCGCGAGAGGTTGTGAATAGAATTAATAGGCTTCTCCAATGAATTGAACTCTTCAATCCGAACCAAATTAATGGGATGAAGCTTGTAGCATGTTGCCTGAGCCGTCAAGCCTGGAGGCTTATTGAGAAGTTGACCTCGCCGGTCGATTTAGGCTTATCCCGAGAAGCATTGCGTGTCCAACATTCTGTCGGTTTCATCTGAGGCTTGCTTATCAATTCTCACGCTCGTTTTTTGAGCGGCGAGACCTCTGAACTCGTATCGAGCTGCAGGCCTTCTGGGGTGTTGTTATTACCAACCGCTACAAACGTCCTTCGGTAAGTGAATTCAACTTTGTTTGTCGCTGCGATTTTCGAGCTTTACAGTGGCTTTTTGATGGCTGCGGCCCCTGAAATCGATATAAACCCTCTTGGAGGTCTTGACGGCTGCACCCGGTACATTTATGATGCCCGAACCGGCAATAACGAGAAGATTCCCGTAACTGGCACTGGCTGTTGCCTCTGGTGAGCTTGCTCCGTTACAGACTGAGCTTGTTCTGATACTTTTTTGAACGCTGGAATTGGTGGCCCGTACAGAGCTGTTGGAAATGACAGGTGACTAACCCATTACAACCGTGTCGTGCTTCAAGCCGATGAAGCACTGACCACGGGGACTCCGCAACGTCTTTTCAGCAGTCTCGTATTTAGTTCATCGAAACCAGTGGAGAAGTTCGCGCAGGCGGACGGTTCAATTAGTGTTCATGAACACTTTCATCGATGCAGTCCACACCAAGTAGTTGGTCATTTGGAGAATACCAACCTTCTGTAGTCGAGTTAGTTTCTCGTCAACACTGGACAGGACTGTCTACGACATTGAGCCTAGAAAACCTTCGAGTATTCAGGTCCGTCGGCAAACATGGGTGCATAACACTGCGGATCTTCGAACGATTTGAAACGTGATTTCGTGGAAGGTAGGTGCTTGCTGCTCGCGAGAGGTTGTGAATAGAATTAATAGGCTTCTCCAATGAATTGAACTCTTCAATCCGAACCAAATTAATGGGATGAAGCTTGTAGCATGTTGCCTGAGCCGTCAAGCCTGGAGGCTTATTGAGAAGTTGACCTCGCCGGTCGATTTAGGCTTATCCCGAGAAGCATTGCGTGTCCAACATTCTGTCGGTTTCATCTGAGGCTTGCTTATCAATTCTCACGCTCGTTTTTTGAGCGGCGAGACCTCTGAACTCGTATCGAGCTGCAGGCCTTCTGGGGTGTTGTTATTACCAACCGCTACAAACGTCCTTCGGTAAGTGAATTCAACTTTGTTTGTCGCTGCGATTTTCGAGCTTTACAGTGGCTTTTTGATGGCTGCGGCCCCTGAAATCGATATAAACCCTCTTGGAGGTCTTGACGGCTGCACCCGGTACATTTATGATGCCCGAACCGGCAATAACGAGAAGATTCCCGTAACTGGCACTGGCTGTTGCCTCTGGTGAGCTTGCTCCGTTACAGACTGAGCTTGTTCTGATACTTTTTTGAACGCTGGAATTGGTGGCACGTACAGAACTGTTGGAAATGACAGGTGACTAACCCATTACAACCGTGTCGTGCTTCAAGCCGATGAAGCACTGACCACCGGGTCTCCGCAACGTCTCTTCAGCATTCTGCTCAATTCTTAAGGCAGCCATGTTCCTATGCTTGCATCTTGAGGCGACTGGGACCAAGTATAAGAATGCGGCACTTAAATTGGACTTGAGTAGCTCGCGTTCCTGTGCCTGTAACAGTGAGAAAGTTATCCTCCTCTTTATTGACCAGCTTGAGGCACTGGTAACGGGTACTGATCACAGAGTATCTGCTACAGCATTCTGATAGTTTCGTCAAAGCTGAGGTCGTGGGGCAGCTTAGGGAGAATGAAGTTTGCATGCCGGTTATGCTCCGGTGTGCCTGGTCTTTGCAACAATCTGGTTTTCAGTGTATGGTCGAGCTTGGAAAAATCAGTTTTGAACATGTTTTCGTACTGCTTGAACCAGGTGTCAACTTTTTGGTTGAGACCGCGACTGCATCAGCCTAGAGAACAGATTTACTAATTCTGGCTGCTGATTTCTGAATAAGCAGTTTCGGAGTCAGTTATTCAATGAGCCTGCTTTCGTTTCTGTTGCAATGACCCTCTGAACTGATTTAATCCGACCTAGGTCGTGCGTTCTCGTTCGCCTATTATGATAATGATAACAGGTCAGTTCTTGGTCAGATTCTCTCAAGCTAATCTTTGCCTAATAAGAACCACTAAGGGTAAATAAAGTGTATGAAACGCCCAAAGCAAGTCAAGTGTGAGTGGAGTCGCACTTTGGAATTCGGATGCCTTTTGGACTCGTCAATGGAAATCGGCTTCCAGCGGACAATTGAACATGATTGGCTGCACATTGGGGTCTACCAATCAGAGCTCACCTTGATGCTGGACCGGCCAAGGACCCCCTCCTCTGACCCTTACTTGCAAGCTAGGCCTATTGTCCGTTGTAGCGTTTAACTGCGAGCAGTAAGATGGTTTTGGCCTAGGAGTACGCTCAGCACCTCGAATGAAATGAACACAAAAATGTAAATATTTAAGTGAAACCCGTAATCCTATCTGGACTTCTGTCAGGGGGGTCTAACAATAATGATCACGAGTCCACAGTTCGAAAGCACATCGTTACATCTCCCAAGACAAATAATAGATCTAACTGCTCGCTGGTATTCTGTGTTGTCAGTAATGGCAGGACGGAAGAAGCTGCCTATTATAATCTAAGTCTTCGACTTATTGTGCCGCGCTTCGTCTCTGGTCTGGAGAAATATGCACAATGAGGGGAGTCGAATGGCTTCGTATTTGTGAAAACAAGTTGATGAACCTGAAGCTAGTCGGAAGCATCTTGGGTAGAAGCAACTAATTTTTTATGAAACAAATTAAGCCACACTATCAATGCACGAATCTGCAAGCCTCTGGTCGCGTTTGCTAATTAGGGACATATATGGCGTCACAGTGATATATCCCTGAATCTCAAGGGACGTGTGCATCAGGCTACGGTGCGGGCTGTTTTGTTGTATGACTACGAGACTTCGTCTTTTCAAGCAGCAGAACTGAGACGTCTTCAGGTGTTTGACAATGGTTGTCTCGGAGCCATAGCTCGTGTGGATTGGTGTCGGCGAATCGGTAACGAGGCGATTGGAAAGTGAGTTTTCGGTTGTTGAACCAGAACTTTCATTGAAGAATGTGTCCAGCACCAGATGCTGATGAGGCCATGTATTGTGCATATCGAACCATCGTTTTCTGTGCCTAATTAAAAATGGCGGAATTAGAGAGTCGTCCAACCCTTGAGCTGGCAAAGCGTCATGAACCATCCAACCCTTAAGCTGGCAGAGAGGTATGAACAAGATTACGGAACGTTTGAATGCTGCCAGTGCTACTAGCCTTCCGGGATGGGGACCGCGAGACCCCCTCAATGCGCCTGGTTGGAGATGCTGCAAGATATAAAGATGTAGGCACCTCGGAATGATTGTAGCAAGCTAGCACTGAGTTTCTTCCCTGTCCACCTTTGTTCTCTACTTCGCAATAAAGTTTTCAAGTAAATTATAATTGTACAGTAGTGAAGCATCAGTGTTGAACACTGATGTCATACTGCCGATGATGATGACACCGTCCTGAGAGTATCCTTGTCTTTGTTTTGTGCAGTCTCCTCTCTGGGTCCAACTGTGAATATCTAGGTTTGGTCTGCTTGTTAAGTTCGTCGGACAGCGAAAAAGCTGAGCAAATCGTTAATTTCTCTCTAAACCACTAAGATTTTACCGTTACTAATACTTGAACATAAAGTGGCATAATTTACACTGTAATTCAACCAAGGAGAGTCAGAATATACTCAAACACGTAATATTAACAACTGTACAGCCTCAAAACTCTACCCACTTATTAAAACCTTTAAAATCAGCATGGAAATCAGTGTCTTCAACGTTTTTTGAACGATTAGTTGCGAAGAGGCCCGTCGTCGGACACCACGATGGCGGCATCCAATCAGTGTTCTTTTCTAACTTGGTTTTGTCAATATTGATGATCATGGAGTAGGGTTTGTGTCTAACAATGGCGACAAACCTATCTTTCTTTTACTGTCTAAAATACTCTCATTGTCAGTTATGAATATCATAATCTGGTTGAAACATGTTGGCAGGGCGAACAAAATCGATCAGTGAGGAGTGAGTGAGCGTAAAACAGCAAAATCGATATTACTGATGGTCGGGACTGATAACGCTGATGTGCATTTAATGAGTCACATGAATCTGATAAATGAATGTTTAACTCATTGGGACTCAAATCTGTACGGAACGTATTTGTATACAATGCCTGGATCCAAAAATATGAATACCGCTTGTTTCTGCAATAAAAATAAGCTTACGCTCTGAAAACTCTATATCCTAATTTTCAATTTATAGAGTAGTTTGAAAGCAGGTGCAAGTCGATTCTGCGTAAAATGATGCACTAAAACAGGACTGTTAAGGTTTCATCTTCCCGTCTGCACTACGGAGCATATATCTCTACATGTGGACTCTCACAATTACCTCGTTGTGTGTGGTGTGTTCACATTAAGCGACAAAATGATAGGCATATTGCTGGTCT